GCAGAGCGCGTTGTTATACGCGCGTCTGGATGCATGTGTATGTATGTGTGCATAGAAGAAATGCAGAATGATAAGAATATCAGCTTAGAGGGTTCAGGGTATCTCCTAGTCGAGCAGTCTCGACTGGAGCCTTCTTGTTATTTTATTGCTTTAATAAAAACAATAAAGTTAGTTTTTTTTATAAAAATTAGACTCACTTAGCTTTCTTAAATATTTGCATCATGAGTATTAATTGGCTAATGTAAAGATTTATTAGAATATACTTTACTGATAGAATATAATTTAACAAAAAACAAAGCTTTGACCCTTATTTTGGTGTAAACATAATTACTTTATAAAAAAAATCATAAATATAGATTGGATTTGATTTGATGATATATTGTATCAACGTATTTCAAGTTCATTATGATCTTGAAGTTGCTCTGTATCCTTAGTTGAAAATTTTAAAAGGACGATGATATAACCAAAATACTGCACAGCGAATAGACACTTAAACATAAGCATACATTAAAAGTATTAAGGATATACTATTCGATAGACCGAAAATATACTGCTTGATTTTGAATTAATGAATATTAATGGAAATATTTTCTCCTTATTTTTTAATTTTTGCAGAGTGCATATCAAAGCAATCGAAACACCACCAAAATCATATCATAGCTAAAATCTCTTGAGTGATACAAAGGAATTCGTCTTTACCGCCAAGCCAAGCCTAGTCAATACGTATAATAATAATTATATGTATTTATTGTACATATACAATCATAGATGCACATGAGTTAACGTTAACTGTAATTGGAAGGAAGTCAGACTCAGCCCGAATACTAGCCCACCGCACATATCACAAAGCAATCGAGTCGTCGACCGAGTCGAGCCCTATGAGTGCGTCTGAATAAAGTTGATTAACTCAAATAATGCACATTCGATAATATCGATGTTACCAAAAGAATTGATGTCCCTCCATGATATTCCAAAGCGAAAAGAAAAAAAAACTATGGCGTTATGCGTCAAGAAACAACCCGGCTACGTGCGATGCGGATGGGATACCGACACCCATGCAGCAACAACAGCCGCTGCACCCTCCACATCAACGCCACCTTCAGAGTTGCGGCAGCTTCTGTTGCTGCTACGCGGATCAGTCTTCGCTGATGATGATGCGGCAGCCGAACAGCCCGTCCCCACCACCGTACAGTTCAATACCCTCCATAGACTGCTCAGGCTCCTATCGCCCCACCCACAAGCAGCCCCAGCTGCAGCTGATGAGCCACCCAAATGGGCAAGAAGACATTTCCGTGTCCGCCTCGGCGACCGAAGAATCGAACTATTCCTATATAAAAGATGGATGCAGTTACGCAAGCTCTGGCGCCGGCATGTTGGTCGACGAAAACAGGTTCTGTCCGGAGTGGGCTCTACCGATGTCGGCGGCTGTGCCGATGCCAATGCCGGCTTGTTCCAATGCACATTCAACGACAGCCGCGGCCACCTTTGCCACGACAGCGGCGAAGATGTTTCGCAATTGCTGTGGCGGCGGCGGAGACAGCAGCAGCAGCAGCAACAGCAGCAGCGGGACGACAACAGACTTCGGAAACAGATTCTTTTCGAAAGCGAACCCGGTGCAGAGCAAACGCCACAGTCAGAGCCGACAGCGCACAGCCTCATTCACACCCACCTGCCCAATGCATACCCAGTCGCCCACGTTGTCCCCAGCTGGGGCCGGGTCAATGTCAGCGACAGCCTTGCGTCTAGAGACGGTGCACCAAAACTTCGATGCATTGCTAAAGAAGCTCAAGAGCAAACAGATAGCCGATCTACTCCAGGCCGTAAGAAGTCGCGTGGATCCGCCTCACAAGCGAGACCCGCCAGACACGTCGAGCTATCTGCAATGCATCCTAATCAAGTGCAGCTTGCCCATCGACAAGGGGCAGCATGTGACCACGTGCCAGCTTTTTCTTTGGTCCGACCTCATGGATGCCGGCGAGCTAAGGCGTCTGCCCACTTGCCCCAGTGCTCGGGACTCCGTCTATATCTGCTGCAATCCACTGCACTGGTATCGGATAAACTATCCAATCGATTCAGGTAGGCCAATAAATCTATATGAAAATATTTATGAATTGTATTCGACTAAAAATCCCGGAAATAAAACAGAATATCAGGAAATAAACTGCTCTTTATATACTAATGCCAGAAGTCCTTACAATAGACGTAAGACTTAGTAAATACTATAGACTAAATCGCCATAATTAATGTGGAATATTATATTACTATATATTTTGAAAATGATATAAGTTTATTGTGAACTGATGGCGTCGCTATATCTATATCATTATAGATTAGTTCAATCTTGGTTTATCTATATCCTATAACATGACGTTAATATTTGATATGAGTCGTGCTGCACAGTACGTGAAATACTCACGAAGTTGATTTTGTAACGAGGTTAAATTTTTTACGCCCTTTGAAGCGAAAGTATTTCTATCTCGAGAGGAAAGACAATTCTCTCTATTTATGCATATACATATGTATGTGCATGTATACATGTGCATATATTATGTGTGCTAGATCAACCGACACAACAGCCTCGAAATTGTTTTGTAAATTTAGAACTTGGCGCCAGGAAATAAAACTATCACGCAAAATGCTACTAATTTTGCGACAAGCCTGAAATAGCACAGTTTTCAGATTCATTGTTTTCTCGTACATAATGATAAACCATTACGCAAACCGGAATATATTTATATAGATTCAGGATTCAGGGGATCTTCTAGTCTGGGTCCATTCTATAATATATATGATTCAATTTTATACACATATGTGTATCTGATATTTTATATACGTATATCTAATATGTGTATGCATCTTGTTTTTATATCTTAAATGTATCTAAAGTTTCTTTAATATTGGACTTTAGATATTAGTTATTTTCAAAAAATGTTGGTTAGTTAGACTACAGACAGATAACTAGATTCAGAGGTCTCTGCTCGTTGAAGATGAATTATTTGATTATTTTTTGTGAGCTGTCTCTCACTGTCTCAATGTTTGGTTTTTCGGAATACCCTATTATTAACCGTTTGTCGATGCAGTGGGTGCATACATACATATTGTATGTATGTATGTATGTGTGTGAATGCATTCATAGCAATGAACGGATATATTCAGATGCATGTACATCGTCTTCGTAACATAAAACCAATTACTGTTAATAGCAAATACTTTTTGTTTCGAGCAACAAGCGTTTGCTTCTTCTTCCAATTGCCTTTAATGTGCATGTTAAAAAAAGCGTGGACCTCCCTGATGCACGACGGCAAAGGTAAACAGGCTCTTGGAGGCACGGCAGAATGGATCGTGCTGTGTTTACCTGTTCGACTCTTCCGAGACTCGCAGCAGCAGCAGCAGCACCGTCAGCGCATTTCGCTTGTGTTTCGTCTGTTGTCGGTGAATCAACTTCCCGATACCAAACGGGGACAGGTTTTTTTTAATGATGGCGCCGAGCACATTGAACAAGACGATAATGTTATTCCCTCCACATCAGAAAACAACGAAAAAGAGAGAACACGATTCCTGGAATTGTAGCGAAAGCGATTCGGCCAGAATAGGGATCGGGATGTATTAAGGAATGTGTATGTATACAGATCGCTGTTCCTTCGTCTTCACAGAGGAGTTCTTATAAAATGAAAACTTATTTTGCAGCAGTTCAAACATGGTAAATGTCCATGTTGCGTTCCTAATTATTTTAAGCAAACACAAATGCTCCATTCGGGAGTATCCGGCTAAGGTTTATGGACTAATCTGAACTAAAAAAAAAAAAAAAAAAAAAAAAAAAAAAGTCGACATATGTGCATCCTTTTATTATTATTATTTGAATTTTGATTTCTTACTTAAGTCTTTAAGTGAAAGAATTGTTAAAAGTAAAGAGTCCTAAAGTAGTTGGAGCTACAGCGCCTTTCACATTTTTTATGATAATGCATATTAGTTATGTTATCCCATTTCTTGTGGCTATCAATTTTAAGCCAATTACTCTAAAAACTTGGGTCTGCTTTTACAAAGAACTTAACTTTTGACAATTGTTACCGACTACATAGAATGATCTAATAGTGTGTATGTGCAAATTATTTTATATTA